ACCTGTACATTTACCTAAAAGCATGAGAATTTCATGATAATTTTTTACGGATTAAGTTACTCAAATGAATAAAGTACTTTATAAATCTACATTCAAAACACAATAAAATAATGTTCGTTTGGTAAAAGAAAATTTCTGAGTAGGCGAAATTTTACTTTTTCATATCAAAAACCTTTAAAAACGAATAACTTTTCTTCTGCACGCTAAAAAAAGATAAAAATTACTGTAAAAATGTTTTTTTTATATAACATTTCCATTGTATAATTTGAAATTTCTATATCTTATTTACATTTCCTGTAATAAACTTTGTGACAACCAACCCGCGTGACAACCAACCCCGCTCTCCCCTACTTCTGACATGAAATTAGTGTCGAAGATATGCTGGAAACTTTTTCAATTATATTCTTTCACCTAGATTTTTCATTTATCTATGCACCTACAAAATTTCATGGAATATTTTTTAGTTGCAGGCACCCTATTTTTAGAAGCACTTTTGGTACCTAATTTTTTTTTTCGATGCCGATTTGGAAGGCAGAGGGGTTGCTTAATTATTTTATATTTGATTTAGATAAATTAGTAAAAAATGTCTCAGGATCAAGAAAACTATGAAGGTTTTACTTGTTATTTCATTCAAGTCCATTATTTAAACATTTTCTTTAATTCATTATAAAGTTATGACACTATTTTTAATGACATTAAAAATAGTGTCATAACTTTAAATGAGGAAACATTAGTTTCCTTATTTAAAAAAAAAAATTTATTCAAAATAGCGATTAAAAACATTTTTACAAAATTTTGATGAAATTAAAAAAGTTAAAATGATTTTTTTAATAAAAGTTGTATGTATTATAAACAAAGGTTTAGCTGATGGCCAGGTTTTCAATAGATTATTTGTTTGAGTTTATACATTTTAGATGTCATTTAATAACCAAAAGTATTGTTTATAACACATGTAACTTAAACAAAACTTTAAATAAAAAACATTTAATTAAGTTATATGTATTATAAACCTAATTTAAAAAACATACTGTTTTAGCTGCTCAAAGTATTCCAATTAATGATTCAGGCAACAGCATCAGTTAGTTATTTTGTCTCTTTAATATTTTCATAGTTATAAACGTTTTATAAAAAATCAATATATATAGTATATGAAAATGTTGATATTGCTTTGTAAAAGTAAAGTTTATTTAATTATTGTTTAGATGAAGTTGATCGAGAAAGGCTAAATATAAGTCAGTTTTATTCCTGTTATATGATTTATTATTTTATTACATAGTTGTTTACTCTTAGTATTTAAGTATTGATTTTTTTTTTTTCTTCTATAGCCAATTTAGAACAAACAATCCGTAAGTTAAGTTTGAATTGTTTTGATGTTTGGTAATTAAAAAATATTTATATGCTAGATTAGTTTTCGTTATTAGTTTAAAAAAATGTTTCAAATTAAATTTTGCATTTAGGTGAGCTCACTCATCAGCTATGTAAGTTTTGTAAATGTTATTAATTTAGCGCATAACTTATTAATAAATCCCAACTTAAAAAATTTTATTAATTCAAGATAAGAGTATTATTAAATTAATGATGAAACTGATATTGAAGCTGCTGACTATTGCATGAAAAAGATTTAGCATGCTGCTGATGTTGTTTCTGGTGAGTTACAATTTAATGAATTTAAAAACACAAGTGTTGTGACTTGCCTAAATTATATAGCAAGTGTTGTGATTTGCATAAATAATACAACAAGTGTTGTGACTTGCCTTAAATATATTGCATGTGTTGTGACTTGCATAAATAATACAACAAGTGTTGTGACTTGCCAAAAATCTATTTCAAGTGTTGTGACTTGCATAAATAATACAGCTAGTGTTGTGACTTGCCTAAATTATATAGCAAGTGTTGTAATTTGTTAAATTTTTTGATAGACGACTCTGGCTTACCTTCATGTGGTGTCTATTGTTTAAAATAATTAAAATATAGTTTCATTACTGGAGTTAATCATATTACTCATTCACTAAAAGCCAAGACAAAAATATATTAAATTATTTTTAAAATAATTAAATTTTTTTTTTTTTAATGTTAACATTTTATTAATTATTAATGTTAACATTTTATTATTTATTATTTATTTTGAAACAGAAATTTGTTTGTTAACCAAACAGAATGGCTAGCTCGTTAACCATACTGTATGGTCCTTACTTCTGTTAATGTAATAATCACATGAAAGACTTTAATATAGGTAGTTGCTATACTTGGTTATAAAGATGAAATGTTTTTTACAGCCAATTGACTTTTAATTATATCTACACAATAGTAGTTGTATAATTTTTTAAAGTAATATATATCCAATTGGTTTGGTTAGAGGCATTCTAATGCCCCTTCCCTTATGATATATTTGGATAGGCCCTCCCTTATACTCCACTCTCTTATGACCATGGATGCACCACTAATGTATATTTTAATCTAGTGGAATATATTTTTTACTTTTTTGTTGTTGTACTTTAAATATTTAATCAGATTTTTCAAGAATTAAAAATGTTTTTGATATTATAGTACTAAAACATCATCAACATATCTATTATGAGTTTTACATTCATCTCTCATATTTGGTGGTTGCCTGTTATGAATTTATTTTTTAAATTGTTTCCAGTTTCATAATTTTTTTTTTTAGTTTATTATTCAAATTTTGAAAACAGTAATTGCATTTTTTTTCTTTTTTTTTTTTTTGGTTGGGGAGGAAGGGGGGGGTCATACGCCCCTTCCATAATAGAAACACCACTAGTATACGTAAGATCTTGTATAACATAATTTTATATTGTATACTAGTTTTACTTATTTTAGTAAAGATAAATATTTATAAAATCAAGTCGTTTTTGATACAAGGGTGTATTAAACCATCACCACCACACACACCATTATTGCTAACATACACCTCTCATATATTTTAGTTTAGTATAAATTTAAAACAATTTTTTTGAATACTTATATTGCTTATATCTTAAATAAAAAACTTTTTTTCTAAAAAAGTGTTCAGTGATTTGGTGCCCCTTCTGTCTATCGGATACGCCCGACGGTTAGAGTTTAACATAAAGTTGTAGCCCACTCTCACACCCATCTTTTGATGCCAAGATATTTGTTTTTCGATAAGAATTGACAAAGTTATGACAATTTAAGTGAAGAAAAATATTATTGTGACCACAGTTTCTTCAACAAATCCATATATAGAAAAATCGGTACTTAAACCGTCAAAACTTTTGAACCAAGTGTTCGATTTTGATAATTTTTTCACCTTTAAAATACTGCAATAATCCTCTTTCTAATGATGTATAACAATATAGTATTTAAACAATTTGAAATTTTTACTCACGTACCTAGTTTTGTTTTTTTAAATAATGAAATATTTGTTAACATTTAAATAATATGCTTAAAACATTTTTTACTACAATCTAAATTATTAATGTAATAATAAAGGCAATAATTAAATTATTTTTGTGTAAGATCTTGAAGTTATTATTTTATCTTTATAACTCTATTGGTATTTCAAATGTTTGATTTATTTATTATTCCTTATTAATTAAATGAAACATTTCAAATGTTCGATTTATTTAATAAAGAAGACATTTTATATGTCTTCTTTATTAAATAAATCAAACATTTGAAATGTCATACAGTATAAATTTTTTTTTTTTCATAATTTATTTATAATAGTTTAGATTATATAGTTGTTATAGGTAAATAATTTAAAGGTATCGATAATATATATGTGGCATTGTCAATGCCATTGTCAATCCCAATGTCAACTTCAATGCCATTGAAGTTGTTAAAAGCTGATATTTTACATTTTAAATATGTCTCTTTTGTTTGATTTTTTTTCTGTGTTTGGTTATGAAACCCCATCTACTAACATTTTAAAACAGTGTACAAAAAGTGATGCTACGAAAACTTATATTCTACTTATGTAAAGCTTTCTAATATTCCATGTTTCTGAGGTTTAATTATTTATTAATTCAACAATTCTGGATATTTTTCATATTTATTTTGCGTACAACAACTAACAACTTTAAGCTTACACATTAACTTTAGTTATAACTTAATTATTAATGATTTGATTTATAGATTTTTAAAGCAATACAAAATTGAATTTAGCAGAAGGCTAAATTACTGCTCTGGAGACAAAAAAGGAAGACAGCGAAAATGGCCAGTCAAAATAAAGATTAAAGAGACAAAAAATTGTGTATATCTTGGTGTAGATGATTTATCCTCTACACCTCATTTTCTTATAATAAAACAAAAAATGTTATTAAACTTTAAGATTTACCTGTAACTCCAAACTCTTTACAGAAGTTTAATGTTTGCTCTGAGAAGTTGAATGAACAAATTTATTAAATGGTAAGTTTTTATATAAAATTCTTTATGTCTGATGATTGAAAATCTTTATTCATAGCTTTAGCTTTTACAACTTTAAAAACTTTTTCATATATTACGGTCAAAAAGTCATAGTGTTAATTAACTTTTTATTGTGTAATAATCAGCATATTAAAGCTTGGTCGGCAAGCGAAAGTTATCGCTCTCTAATACTGACCACAGAAAAACTGGCCAGGTTTTCTAGTCGATTTAACGTAACAAAAATTTTATGTTTGATTTCAAAGTTGGTGTTACCAACTTTAAAACCTATTTGAATTCAACTATTGAAAAAAACAACAGAGTATTTATATCAGTTTAAAGTTTTAACAGTTGCTGGTGGTTCATTATTATTCATTATATAAACGTTTATTTAAATTTATATAATAGACGAAGGTAATACAATATTTTTATAGATGATATTATTTTTAAAAACTGTATTATTAAAATTCAGAATTAAAATATGCAAAAAAAATTATTTACAAACATTGGACAACTTTATATTTCAAATAACCACACTTTTTATGAAAGTGAGGTTATTTGAAAAGAATATTTTTTTTTTAGGAAAAGATAAAATTATAAGATAAAATAAAGATTTTTTTTTA